TGTGGTTTTCTGTGTTTATTTCCTCCTGTTCCATTTATTTATTATTTATTTGTTTGTTTGTTTAAAGTTTTTATATGCCATCCTCTTGCTATATGGCCTGGGAACGGCTCACAGAAATAAATAAATACAATATAGATAACAATTACAATTAAAACCCGGAAACACCCTGGCTTCACAATTAAAACCTAAAAATATTAAACATTGTTAAAATATTGTTTAAATAAAAAGGTCTTGGCCTGGCGCCGAAAAACAAGTAACGACAGCGCCAGGCGGACCTCTCTGGGGAGCGCATTCCACAGATGGGGCGCCACCGCAGAGAAGGCCCTGCTCCGGGTACTTTGCTTCCTGATATCTCTCACGGAAGGCCCCGGAGGAGGGCCTCTGCTACCGATACAATATATATCGTATTTTATTCCTATTTGTTTATGGTTTTGCTTCACTATTGTTTTCTATTTGTATTTGTTATTGCAGTGTGAGCTGCCCAAAGAGCCTTCAGCTATGGGGCAGCATACCAATGCGACAGATAAATAAATAAAGATGGGAAGACATGGAAACAGGCTAGTCTATTCGCAAGAGCAAAGCAAGTGCCTTTTCTCCATCATATGCTCCATTTGGGCAGCAAGAACCATTCCAGTTCCTCCAGGTTTAGCACACAGATCACGGGTTGGCACATGTTGTACAAACCCTGACTGATTCCTCCAGGCTGACTCGTTCAAGGGCAACAAGCCATCCGGACAATCCAAATGCTGTTCTCGGGCTTGCTGTATTCATGACAGGTTCGCATGTGGTTCGAAACCAGGCAACTGACCCCAAAGTGAAAGTAGCAACGGACTAGCAACTCGCCAGCCAAGAGCACCAAGGCCAGTCACTTCACAAGTCTCCGAACAACATTCTGGGATGCCTGGGGCAAGCCGGCCTCCCCCTGCTGCAAGGGTGAGATTTCGCTCGCCGCACTGTACCTCCTCCTCCTCCACTGCCTTCTCCTCTTCTTCTGTGCTCAAGAGGCACCTTGAGGAGCTGGCAGTAGCTGCCGGAACGTATTAAGAAACCATTTTGTGCATGAAGACTTATGCAAATAAGTTCCTTTTTCCTCTTCTTGTAAGGAACCTTTGCACAACCAAAGTTGCTCAACTATGGGAATTTGATGCCTCAGCTGGGAAAAGTCCCTGAGTGGCTGAGCCAAGATGCAGCACTACAAGCCCTGGACACCTCCCCAAAGGAAATAGCTTTTTCATCCTTTCCTTTTTCTTGACAGTTGTCAACAGGTGAGCTGTCAAGAGAAACCAAGGTGTGAGTGGTCTTTTCTTATGAAATGGGGGTGTTGGGTTTAAAGACATTTCACAGCAAAATCCACATCTTTTTTTTCTCACCCTAACAGTCCTAAAAGGCCTAATTTGATTTTTTTTTTCCTTCCTGCCACTCAAGGTGCTTTGTAAGGTGCAAGAGTTCTTCCATCACTTTTCCTGGGAAAAAGGAGTTTTGACAGCCTGGCCAACTGTCAAAATTCTGGGCCTTCTTTCAAAGGGGTTTTGGACAGGGCAATCGGAGGTTTCAGAGTGGGGTTTAAGTCCCAGCCTGCCAATCCCCATTCCCCTGTCAAAACCCCCCCTGAAAGGGGCCCAGAATTTTGACAGCTGGCTGTTGAAAAGAAAGAGAGCACTTTCGCATTTTCCTGAGCAGACAGAGTCCCAGGAAAATGTGCAGAGTACGACCTGCCCAGAGGACTAATGGGACCATATTGCAGGGTAGGCTGCATGGCTGTGTACACAGAAGGTCCACAGGCTCAGCCCCTGGCATCTCCATTTAAAAACAACAGATCAGGTCATGGGAAAGACTTCTGACTGACCGACCAAATGACTGGTTATGTTTGTATGGCACTCCATAACCCATAGGACTCTCTGGGTGGCTTACAATAACATAGAAATAATACAAATTCCATACAAATACAATAATATAATCAGAGCAAATACACAATACAATACAATACAAAAGCAATGCAAAAATCAAAACAGAAATACTCAATACAGTATTGTAATACATAATATAAAGCAATAATAACGTACGGTAATATTCCCCCTGCACAAAACCCAAGCCAGAACAGCTGGCTGAGAAAAACATGGTCAACATGGCCCCACCTTGGCACCCCCTCTACACACGGTAGCCCAAACGGGGTGCAGTCAGCGCCCGCTGGCATCTGTCCTTTGGGCAGCATCCGCAAGAGAAGGCTCGGTCTCCCAGGTCCCACCCAGGAGGTGGACCTGGCCTGGAGCATCTCCCTGCTCCTCTTCTCTGCCTGCCTCTCCTCTTCCCTGCTCCCTCGGCAGCATCAATACTGCTCTCACTAGCGGAGACACCACCTGAGGTCCAGGTGGGCAACGTGGGGGGAGGGCACAGCTAACCCCTGTGTTGATCCGTGGCGGGTGGGATGCAGTGATGGAGGCAGGCAGGTGGTGAATGGCCCAGCAGTGTCCGCAAGGAAAGGGCCCAGCCTCTGAGGCTCCGCCCAGGAGAGGATGAGACCATGGGGCACTGCTGCCGGTCAGAGTAGACAGTATAGGGCTAGAGAAGTGGGCCCACCATGTCTTCTTCCTCAACTTAAAAGAAAAAAACCCTGAGGCTGAATGTAAGCAAGAAGTCATCTTCTATCCATCTCAAATGTTTTCTAGCCCACCTTTCAGCAAAGATCCCTTTCACGCAATCATCTTGGGATACGTCAACACATAAACGAGTCCTCTACTGCGGGGCGCAGGGTTGCTTCCCAGCTCATATGGAAATTATGTGTACTCACCCCAAGGAATATGTTTTTTGACGAGTCAAATCCTGCTGCAAAGATTCTGGCTGTATATGGCACATTCCTATCACAGACAATGCGGCACGCAAACCTGGAGATGGTGCTTTGGGTGATCTGCGTTTCATCGCTGTTTTGGCTGCCCGAAATTGTATCCGTCACAACAAAATCTATGGGACTTTCTGTTGATCGGCCAACCTGAAAAAATTAAAAACATGCTTTACAGACATCCCCTTGGAGGAACAACTGCAAAAAATGTGCAGAAGAGCAAACATAGAAACATAGAAACAAAGTGAGCCAGAAGGCACCTCCAGGGCCATCTAGTCTGACCCCCGGCTCCAGCCAGCTCTGCTCATGACATGCCAACCATGTGGACGTCCAGCCTATCCTTCAACACCCGCACCGATGGGGCCTCAACGACCTCTCGAGGAAACCCATTCCACACCCTCAGGGTCCTAACGGTCAGGAAGTGCTTCCTGGCATCCAAACTGAACCTTGGCTCCCTGAGCTTGGCTCCATTGGAGCACGTCCTGCCTTCCTCTGCAGGGGAGAACAGGTCTCTGCCCACCTCCGTGTGACGCCCCCTCACATACCTGTGTGTCGACAACAGATCCCCTCTGAGTTTCCTCCAGGCTGAAGAGACCCAGTTCCCTCAGTCTCGCCTCATACGGCATCCCCTGCAAACCGGCCACCAACCTTGTGGCCCTACGCTGCACTGACTCCAACCTGGCTATATCCTTTCTGTAATGAGGGGCCCAAAACTGAGCACAATACTCCAGTTGTGGGCACACCAGAGTCGTGTAGAGTGGCAGTAATACCTCTCTCGATCTAGAAGCCACACTTCTGGCTATGCAACCAAGGGTGGCGTTTGCCCTCTTGACCACCGCATCACACAGCAAGATTAAATACATGGACAGGAAAAACATATGCATGGGTGCACTGAACGGCACCCCACTGAATACTTTTCTCTTGGACTGATGTTTCAAAATGCTCACAGCATGCTGATGCAAGTTGAAAAAGAGACTCCCGGGTCCTCGACGCTTCCACTCTAACACACACAGAGCCCAGCTTGCTTCAGCACATCCCGCATCTCGTATTCCATCCCTGGCACCTCCAGCTGAAAGCAACTCAAAGGCTTTGCAGAGACGCTGCCACACAGATTGAGTGGCATATGACACTAATCCTATCATCTGTGCTGGTTGCTGCTAAAACTGTTCACACACACGCCTCACTAGGTGCTGAAACTGTTCACAAACTCCTCCCACACACGCCTGACGAGACTCTAAGATCATCTTCAGAGGTCCTTCACTGGGAGCCGCCTGTCAGGGAAACAAGGACGGTGGCTACTAGGAGAAGGGCCTTTTTAGCTGTGGCACCCTGTTTGCAGAGAGGTGTCCCTGGCACCAGACTTTTTCTTTTACTTGCAACCTTTCAGCACCAGACTTTTTCTTTTCTCTGTATCTTAACTGAAATTTTATATTATATGTTTGTGCCAATGCAGATTAATTATTTTAGATTAATTTTATTGGTTTTATATTCTGTTACTGTTATTGGTTATATATTTGGTTTTTACTGGTCATGAATGTAAGTTGTTCTTAGTTTTATCTTACTGTGATGTTGGGTAATTGTAACTGCCCAGTGAGCCAACTGGCAAAAAGCACGTGTAGAAATGTTTAAAACAAGCAAATAGAAGACAACACTGCTCAAGGAGAAGCTATGGCCTCACTCAGGACAGGGCAGTGTTCTACTAAATTCCAATTTTCAGAAAATACCCTCCCCCACAATTGATACATAGATATATTTGTCTGTTATGTGACTTTTTGTGTAAAAAATCCACCCACCAAACTAGCATTCCAAGATCTGGATTTCCATCCTAAGCAGCAGAAATTACCCCAGTCTTTACTAAACACTAAGCAAAGCCTTTTGCTCAGAGGTGCAAGATCCACCTTTCTGTGAAATGTAACTCTCTCCAACTGCATTCCTGTAGCATCAGCAGGCCGAAGGCTGCCCTTAAAAGATTCTCCTATAAAAAGGAAAGCGATCAGAAGTGTCTTACTGAATAAGAGCTACAACAGATTGCGCAGCTGGGAGAAACACTGAGGAGCAAATGAACGCAGCAAGCCCTGAGTTTCTGGTGCAGCATTTCACTGCAGCGCAAGTAATATAGATCTGCCTTGCCCTTGAAGAGGCTAATGTTACGTTTTGGAGATGTGCCCTAACCGAACCGTATGAGCTTCCTAGAGGAAGCAAGATCAACAGCCTTCAAGTGTTTACCCAGAGAAGAATCAGAAGGAAACACGCAGCAATTGTGGTATTCAATATCTGAGCCTCATGGGCATTTTTTTTTTCAAAAACCCAGCTCTTAATATTTTACATTTGCAACCAGATTGCAAGGTTGTGCTTGGTCATTTTAGTCTCTGCATTTTTTTAATGGGGTTTCGTCTCTCATCTGGCCACTGAGGTCCCCGGATGAGGTACTCCTGGAAGTTCCACCTATGACTGAGGTCCGTTTGGAGTCTACTAGAGATTTTAGGGTGCAGTCCCTCTGAACCTGGAGGAATACAGTCATCCTGTGCAGAGCAGGTGCAGCAAGGAAGCAAAGATTATCTCCATGCTCCATCCACCAGGCAAAATGCCAAAATGGCGGATCTTGGCACTCTGGGGGTGCAGCAGGTGGGGTGCCTCCAGGATACCTCAAATGCTGGTGGAGCTGGTCTCTTCCCCTCCCCGCCCCCAAAGGTCCATCTCTCCAAGCTCTCTGGTGATCTTGGAGCCACAGCTGCAGGGGCTGAGTTCTGAGTTCAAATTCCAGTTCCAAACTCAAATTTCCAAGCTGAGACTCCAAAAAATCCACAGGACTGTACTGTTAGTGCATTAACTCCCTCTCGATGGAACTCTCTGCCAGCTGATGTCAACAACTGGCGTTGTGATGTGTTGTGATGACTATTCTACATCAATTGTACTTTGCTTTCAGTGTCTGCCAAAGACTTTGTATTAAACCATTCCTGAGCAAAAGGCCAACCATTGTTCTTTCCATGCCATTTGATTTTAAATGCTTTATTTTTTCCATGTTCTTTTGCAACAGTTATTACTGTTCAGGGAATATTTCTGATGTAGAGCCGATTATAAATGTGGCAAATCAAGTAACTACACTTTGGTGAAGTTCTGTTGGATTTATTCTTTGCCAGAGAAATATGCTGGGAAGCCAAACTAGTACATTTCCTACTTTATCCTGTTAATATGCTGATGAAGAGTCTGTATGAAGAGTGAAATTGCAATATGCGTATCTAATGATGCGAGTTATCAAGTAACCTGCAAGGTTTGTAGGCAACAGAAGCTTATTAATATTTGAATTAACTATCGCATGTGATTTGATATGTAGTCTATCTAGCGGTCTGCCTGAAAACCAGCAGTGGCACAGCAGAAAAAAGATAAGAATACCAGGCTGCGCTGGATGGCTTTGTTCAGATGCTTTCAGCAGAAGTCTCCCTCTCCATCTCAAAACCTGACGATCATGTGCTGCACAGGACTCCAAGTAGAACAGAACAAGCGACAAATTCGAACATGTTAAAAATACTGTGTAGAAATTTTCAGAATGCCCTCAGTTCCCATCTCTGCAAGTGTCCCAGCAATAGGAACTGATTTCTGGACCATTGCTCGCTTTTTATTGTCAATGGTTCCAATTACCCAAGATCCAGGCAACTTTCTGGGTTAAGCAGCTTGCAATCGTTAAATGAAATTCCTTACAAAATTCACTCACTGCAGTTAAACACACACACACACACACACACACACACACACACAAACCCACTGTGCTTCTAAGGTCACTTGTCATTTTCCAGCATTGTTGGAAGAATGGTGTGAAAAACCCCAGTCAAATTAGCCAGTCACACCATCTGTTAACTGCCATCCAAGCAAACACAACACAACTATGCTTTCCCTTCAAGAGTTACAGCAACTTTGGGTCAATCGGGAAACCAGTGAGAGGTGGTCCAGATGGCGGAACCCAGCGCTTCTCTTTGCCCCCATCACCGAGGGTCCTCCAGCTCACGCACTGTTAGAGCAGGCCCATAAGTAAGCCCAGAAAAGTGATGGGTCTGTAAAACATTCAACTGGCCCACTAACAGGCCAGCAGCCCATGTTTCCAGACTGGCTGCAGAGGAGGGGAAGCTTGGTCCCTTTTTAGCCAGCCTGGAAACACACACTAGCAATTATTTTAAAAATCCCTTCTACCAAGTGAACTGGCGGAATGACTGCCAGGCCACTCTGCTAGCTCATCACGTCTCTATCCTAATATTGGAAGGAGACACATTTCTCTTGACTAGCCACCGAGAAGGCTGGTGAAGAAGTCCACCCCTCCTACAACAGCCTGCATGGAATTCTTGGTTCCCTGTGACTTTGACGGTTGCACCAGATCACATCCATACTTCCGAAGAATGTTTCACCCAATTGCATTTTCAGAAGAAACTGTCACTCTCAAAAAGCTAGAGCTGGCACAGAACTGAGTATTTTCTGCTGCACAAAACTGATGTTTAGACAACAGATCAGAATCCACAGGGACCACCTAATTCTATCACTAAAGCCAAAGAAGCGCTAAAGGTAAAGAGCCTTGTGAAGGCACGCTGAGCTTTGCAAAACAAAAGGCATAAAATAATGCTTTAATATCTTCCATGTTTTCTCATCTCTATGAAGCGCTTACATTTAGTGTGGGGGAGGGGAGGCTTTGTAGTGAAAGGAATGAAGAAAAAACGAAGTGTCCACCCAGTTGTGCAAATAATCCAAAACTACCTCTGCATGAATGAAATATCTGAACTATATATTTAAGAAACAGCTTTGGCAGTGGTCCTGAAAATAAATTGTGCATCTGTAGCTCTGTATGTTCACTGCAGAATGAACATACTATCAAGAAGATCGAGAGAGCATCACTAAATTAAAGCATCAATAATGCAGGCACTGCTACTTCCCGCTGGAAGAACTTTCAAAAGCGCAAGACTGGAGAAGTCCAGGCTCAGTATTTTTATTCTACCGCCTTTTGTTGACAACAAAGCCCAGTGGTGAATTTCAAAAGCAGGACACACAGAGCAAAGACGACACAGGCTAATGCACGAAAGATTTGCATTCGTTATTCAGAATACCTGCAGCACAAGAGCGGTGTCTAATTTCCTACACGGAAAGCTCTGCAGTGGAAAAAAATATATGCAGATGGTGCATACTCTCACCGCTTACGATCTCATGCGCATGTGCACGGTGGCTGAGAACACGCACAGCTGGCCACAGTTTCCTAGTGCACACTCATGCATGTAAGGGCCATGTTTCCGTGTTTTTTTTCCCCTCAACCAAACCACAAGCTTCTGCAAAGAAGCAGATAAGCCTTTTCTTCACTGTAACCATCTCTGTGCGGCTTACTTCCTACCCAACTAGAAGTGCCTGAGAATCAACTCTGCACCCTGAGCACAGTTTCTATCAACTCCATTGCAGTGTCAAAGGGAGAGGAGAGGGACAACTTCCTGAAAATTATGCCTTACTTGGAAAAGTGCCACAACTGTCAGGATATTTTTACTTGGATTGTGTAGATATGTAGCATGGAGAAAACTGGATAAATTACATTTTAAGAGTCCACAAGCAACTAAGTAATTGAACAAACTTACCTGAAACATATCAGTATCCTTATCGTGGGTATATTCCACTACAACGGTCTGGTTTCTTGAGAGAGTGTAGGAGATGCTGTGCTGCCCTTTACAGCTGATGGCCTGCGGAATAAAACAATTTTATCTAAGACCACCTCAAAAAGGGAAAAGCACATTACTACGATGTTTGTAAATGCTATTGGAAAGGTTACAAAGTTCTCCAATGTATTCTTCAGTTTCACTTTACAGCAGGTACCTGGGAGAGAAATGGAGCTATTACGCCGTGGGGTGAAGAATGCAAAGATCTGTGCTTCTTTTTAAAAAAGGGGATAAATTGTTGTATCTGAGTAACAGACCAGCTCCAATTTCAGCCTTGAAACAATGCTTCTAATGTTTATGCTGGAAACATGCTCCTAGGGAACTTTCACTATACAGGGCCTTCAGCTCTTCCTTTTCTCATTGTAACCGCTCTTTGCTATTCTCAGGGGTTGCTCCTGTCCCCTCCCCTCTCCTCTGTAAGCCCCAACTCTTTTTTACTCTGTACTGAAGCATTATGAAGCCTGTTGGTTTAATCATAAGACAGGGCCAAAGACTGAGATAGGTCAATCTTCAGTGTTTTGCTTTTCCTCTTTGTTGCTGCAGCTCTATTTTTCAAATAACCTATTTTCAACATTTAAAAAAATGGAAAAAGAGAGAAGCCACAAGGTTGCTTTATGCTGAATTCATGAAGACCCAATACTTTGTTCTCTGACTCCCTGTAGCTTTCTAACATGCAATGGAAGTCCCCCCCCCCCCCTCAATCAGGCAGCCTTTAATGAGTGTTATCAGGGTTAAACAGGAAAACCTCTACATACAAAACAGGGCAAGCTGGCAACAAAGATTTTGGTAAATATGGGTCAGAGGGTCGGGTGCCTGCTCCTTTAAAGGAGGCGGTAGTCCGACCGGTCCTGAAGAAGGCGTCACTGGATCCAGGGATGGCCGCTAACTATAGACCAGTGGCCAACATCCCGTTTCTGGGCAAGGTGTTAGAGCGAGTGGTGGCGGGACAACTCCAAGCACTCTTGGATGAAACTGATTATCTGG